TGAATCGGGTGAGATATCGATGGACACGCTTGAAATGGTAAATTATGAACAATGCTCATCATGTGTTATGGAAATTGAAACTGCAATTGCAACACCTGTTAGAGAGGTTGAAACAGGTACTAATCCAGATTGCGGAACTGAAATTACGGAGAATCTTCAGGGCTCGTTGATCGAGGCCAAGATGGAAATACCTGCTGCAGAAACGGATATAGATATGAATGCTGCAGAAGTGGAGCAGATTAATCACTTGTATGAAGGGATCAAAGATCAATCTATAGCCCTTGTAAGTGTTTCTGAATCCAAGGAACTGAAAAAATTGGATCATTGCTTACAAAAGTATAAAGAATTGCTTGCCGAGAGGTCGCCATTAGCAAAATTGTTGTGATTGGAACCTGCATCTAGTCGCAATTACGAAAATGTTGAATTTATTTGCTGCAACTGGCCACATCAATTATGCAAAGAGTGCACCTGTATTTGCAACTGATGCTGGAATTACGAACAGACTACCCATGGCTATACCATTGCTTTCAAGAACAAGGATTCCATACAGTCCGCAGAAGCAATCGCTTCTGGGCAGGATTATGGACGGATCTTACAATCGAACAGGTTATGATAAGATCCATCAAAAGCAAAGGAGGACTTACTAGAGGACGTGGTGTAACAAGAACTGTTCGCCTTCGGGGTACATATCCATCGAAATATGGACAATATGAGCGCCGTAGAAGCATCTATTAAAAGAAATGATCAAGTGAGGTCTTTAGATCATCTGCATCCACCCAAATCATCTGTTTTATCGCCTTATATATAGCTATTGCACAGAGAGATGAAAACATGACTCCATACTTTGACTACGAGCTTACGGCAATGCCAACTTCGCTATTCAAGGACAATTTTATGCGTAAATCTGTAAAATCCCAACTAGCACAATCCCTCGAGAAAAATGTTCAGTTCTCTGGAGAAAACCCGCAAGCCATGCATGTTCTCGACTGCGGAGCCCCTATTCATAAAGTGAAATGGCAGAAGAAGGTTACATACAAAGACATAGCGGTGCAATATGTAAACTATGTGCGTACAAGATATCGCGACTGTTGTATTGTGTTTGATGGTTACGGACAGGGTCCGACAATTAAAGATCACGAGCACCAGCGAAGAATTGGTAAAACATGCGCTGATATTCAGCTCAGTGAAAATATAATGGCTAACAGTGATCAGCAGACCTTCCTCTCGAACGAGAAAAACAAAAGTCAGTTCATCGCATTGCTGAATCGATGCTTGGAAGCTGATGGCCAGATTTTGCATAACAGCGCGGGAGATGCTGACACATTAATAGTGGAAACTGCTCTTCTATTTCCAAGACAAGAAAGAGAAGTAAAAGTAGTAGCAGATGACACGCATGTACTTATCCTCTTGATGTACCACTGGAACGCGAATATGGCTGATATATATTTCCATTCAGAGGTAAAGAGATCAAAGAAAGGTTTGAAGGTGTGGAAAGTTCAAGACCTTGTTAACAAAGCTGGCAAAGTTGTAACATCCCATCTCCTGTTTATCCACGCATGGAGTGGTTGCGACACAACATCTGCAACATATGGGCATGGCAAAACCAGTCTTTGAAGAAGGTGAAAGAATCAGAAGAATTGCAGCGGATATCTTTCTTTATAACCGATAATGAGGCTACAGTAGAGCAGATTGCCAAAGCAGGTATCCGGTTATACGTTATCCTATATGGTCGCAGAGCAAATGATTCTTTGAACAGTCTACGGTACTCTAAATACATGGAGATGGTACCTACAAGCAAAGCATCAATTGATCCACAGAAGCTTCCACCTACAGAGAGAGCAGAATTTTTTCACAGTTTGCGGGTTCACTTGCAAGTTATAACTTGGTTGAAGCTCACAAATGATTACCTGAATCCGACACAATGGGGTTGAAAACTTGCTGATACAATACTAACACCAGTTCTCACGGACTTGGATGCACACCAGAATGCTTATTGAAGTTTGTAAGATGCAAATGTAAACTATCCTCTAGAAATCCATGTGGTAATAACAGTTGCTCATGTCGTAAACATGGGCTGAAATTTGTAACAGCCTGTGGAGACTGCAGAGGAGACAGTTGACAAAATGCTGAGGAGATCCTTGACAACGAAGACAATGTTGACATTGATGAAGAGTAATAACTATTGATTTCAACATGCAGTTAAAAGTAACAATTTTGAGCAACAGTTGCACTTATTTACTTCAATGAAGGTTAATCAACACTTATTTTTTAGTTTTTTTATACCAAATTTTGCAAAGTATGGTGGAACCCTACACTAACAGTTCTTTAAAATATGGACTAAAGTAAACTAAAAACGGACAGAAATCCACATTTTATTTCACGAAAAGTTTTCTGGTAGACCATATAATCGAGATTAAAGCAATTCTGTATAACGAAATTTTTTACTTGGTTTTTAATTTCGAAGCAAAAATTTGGCTCTACAAATTTTGTACTAACTCGTCAAGACAATCGATTGTAGTACAAAAAAAAACGTTTCATTAAAAAAATGAGAGTACCGACCAAGTTAAGTGCGCTAAAATAATAAGATATCGGCCTTATTGAATCGTTATTGTTGCCATAGTAACGGTATTGACGTCACTTTTGTTACCAATGTCTGACTCTTTGATTGTTGCTCTATATAAGGTATTCATGTTTTGTGTTCCAGCGAGTAACATTCTTCAAAGGGTTTGACTTTAATTATGAATAGTCCATATTTTAATGAACAGTAGGGAGCCTAGCCTGCATGCAGTCCCAGACTCCAAAAGGCTATAGGGAGCCACCTTAACACACTCATAAAACAAATTTCTCGCTTAGGATTTTTGCGGATTTTGGATATAGTATTCCATGGCACATTATGCTTCTCTGGTGTAAAAATCATCTTTATACCATTTTTTTCCCAGTCAATATGCTCAACGACCAGACTATATTGCATGGCATTGCGGCAGGATAATTCGCATGGTTTTGTCAACTGCGGCAGTCTCCTGCGGCAGCCAAAGCGTACTTTCCACTATGGGAAAATAGTGCCTTGAATGCACAGTAGCTGCACTATTGATGAAGTATCTTGGTTTTCATCCAAGCAATGCCTGATACTAGTTTATATTAGTATATTTTTGTATGTCATCTAGTGTCTTTAATAGTAAATAGTCAACATTAACATCACTATGATATCTATATTTACCTTTATAACTTGAGTCGTTGTTAAGCCAGTTTCTGCTACAGCGCTTTCGATCATTTCGCGATAATTTAGACCAACACCGACCATTCCACGGCCGTAAAACCTTTCCAAAATATCTCTCTAGTTGTCGCTTATTCTAGTTCTCTTTCCTATCTCCATTTCATTGCACAGAATCGCAATCTGCTAGAACAATACAAACAATACAAAATCTGCTAGAAATGTTTTCAAATATGGCAGCTCAAAGCTCGAGAAGAACGTGTGATAGAAACACGATTGTGATTGGTTTATATATAATGATATGCGAAAGCGTCAGCGTCAGGTAGCGCAGGCGATAGTCTGGCACGGGTAATACCGAATATTCTCAATTGAGAACATATGGGTAATACCCGTTGAGGTGTATGCTAAACGGGTGGTGCAAGAAGTTCCTGGACCTCGGTATCGTTTGACTTTTCGCTCGTTGGAATATAAACAATTATTTTTAGATCAGCCGTTTCATTTGTAGTCTCCTACGCAGCCTGTTCGCGGGTCCGAGGATTTCTCCCCACGTGCAGGCTGCTTACTGCAACAACACATTCCTTTCCGATTGTTTCAACTTGACCAATCAGGAAACGGCATGACGTAGGCTTCCCGCCAAATTCAGTAGTGACTAATTAATTGTTCAGTGCTAAATATATCTCAGTGTTTACTGCTGTTAAAAATATATTACACGCATGCTTGAAATAATCAACTTGTTTATATTCTATATGACGGGAGAAGTGCATGCCCTTGGTATAGCTGATCTGATCAAGGTATTAGTATTAAATGTTGATGTGAACAATATTCTGACAGTAACAATTTATCTGTGTGCAAAAACGTATGTTATGAAACGGCTGTGGTCTAGTTGAGGCTGAAAGTTACCCTAAGACATAATCCATGGACCCAGCTTTTATCGTCCTATATTCCGTTCCTACTCCTTAGAACTGTGAGTAAAACTGTAAATGATACCTACAATACATTGGGGAAAGCGTTACTGTATGGACCTCTATAGAGAGTCACTATATACGCCATACGGCAGTTATGAAATGCAGCCTGTCCGCAAAGTGGTTACACAGGAAGTGCGTGACATCGTTTCCCAGGAAGTTAGCGATTTGTGTTTTAGAAAGAAACTCTCAACTGTGTTACAGTAAGAAAAACTGGGGAGGATGATCTAATGAAATTCAGCTATGTGGCTCTGTGCTGCTCAAGCAAAGAAATGGTGAAATGAGCGCGACCGCCTATGACGGCTATGTGTTGGGTATCAAATAATCTCGCTCGACTGAGGTTATATAATGTACTTAATAATACACTTAAACACTACTGATATATAGTTTTAGTTTTCATTTAGGCTTGTACAAAAAATATGCTGTAAAGCAAAAGTGCTCGCGGGTTTTATGAGTTCTCAGACTTCTATGGTTTCAAAAATGTTTGGGTTTTATGCGTTCAAATAAAACCCGACTCCCAAGCACTTTTGAAACCATGGCATAGAAGTCTGAGAACTCATAAAACCCGCGAGCACTTTTGCTTTACAGCATATTTTTGTACAAGCCTAAATGAAAACTAAAACTATATATCAGTAGTATTTACAGTAAGTGTATTATTAAGTACATTGCTATAGAGTATAGTTTTAACTAGCAAATGTATAAATATTTTTATATTTTTGATTTCGTGTTAATTTGAATGTATGCAGTAATTTGAAATTGACAACTTGTCGTTCAAAATAGTTATTGTTTACAAATTTATATATATTATATATTTTTATTTAGTTTTCCCCATGTATAAAAAAGCTACTTAAAATATATCTTTAAACGATTTTGGGCTAGATACCTACTAGACATCTTCGTAGACTTTTTATTTAGGCCTCTAGTTACTGTTCATTTGTGATAATTAAATAGTCAATTATTTACAGTCAGTCAATAGGCCTACATGCACAGCAATATGTAAAATGAGACGTTTTGAAGAATATATACGTCTGTATTTACAACAGAGAAAAAGAAGGGCAATGTTCGTATTATATAAATTAATACTAATGTTGGCGATGCATAGTTACATTTTTACAGTGACTCGGCAACAATGACCAACAAAATACTAAACTATAAAGTGCTATATATTACTAAAGTATTACATATATTTTAATGCAGAAGTATGTTTTATCGCATGTCTTATAATATAAATTGTCAATTGTGTATAGCAAAGTGTTGTTTAATTTGCTTTTTGAAGTTATATGAGTTTATTTCATTAAATTTTGTTTCTAACGAATATATTCCATACATTAACTGCTTTATATGAGAGACTGTGTTTCACATAATTAATATATAAATTTGTCCTTTTATAACATTCGTGAAGTTTTGAAGCATTTCTCGTGTTATGAATATGTTCATGAATTTTGTTGTTTGTCACAAAATAATTTTTAAATAAATCTGGTAAATTATTAAGCTGGTGGTACTGAAACATAAATAAGGCAGTTAAATAGTCAATGATTTATAAAGAGCAATGCCTCTGGTATTCCATAAACTACCGCTCTGGCATTATTCTTTAATTATCGTTCGAATCGCATTCCTTTGATGATCGTTGAAAGTAGAAATACGAAATAATGGGCTACTTCATACAATGCTTGATCATACGACGCCATCTTTGTTTCGGAATTATTAAATTTAAGCGGAATGAGTTCCTGATTTTGGTACTCAGGCTGTGATTGGCTAAACAGTCGGAATGGAATGTGTTGTTGCAGTAAGCAGCCTGTACGTGGGGAGAAAACCTCGGACCCGCGAACAGGCTGCGTAGGAGACAATTTCATTTGCGGGGTGAACGAGTTATTGCTCAAGAACTTGATATGCACAAGACAACGCAACTTTGATTGATCACTTTTATACAACAAAACCAGACTTAATAATTTCTAGTGGGGTAAGAATTATCACTATTAGTGACCACTACTTAATTTACGGTATTCGTAAATTTTATACAACCAAGGGAGCCCAGGAAGTTGTAGAATATCGGGATTTCAAGCACTTTAATGAAAACAATTTTCTTTTTGAATTGGAATCATTATCAAGCCTAAATTTAGACCATTTAGATCCCAACATTTCTTGGTTAACTTGGAAAAATAAATTTCTTCATATTGTCAATAAACATGCACCCTTAAAAAAACGTAGAGTGTGTAAGAAACGTGTACCTTGGTTAACCCGTGAGTTAAAATATTATAAACGCCAAAAAGCATATCTTAAACGAAAGGCAACTTTATCTAACTTAGACGGCGACTGGGCAGCCTATAAATCATTGAAGAATCATTACAATAGATTGATTAAAAGTACAATGCGTCAACACTATCAAGAAAAGATACATAATAATTCAGGTGATATTAAGAAAACATGGAAAATAATCAATGAGGTGATTAACAAGTCAAAAAAAGCCAATAAAGTACTACAGCTTAAAAATGAAAATAACGAAATTATTGATCAAGCGGATATCCCAAATCAGCTTAACAAATATTTCATTGAATTAGGGGATAATTTATCTAAAGATATACCCTTATCAACGTCAACTTCCGACAGATATTTTACCAATTTTCAATGTCCAACTGACACTTTATCGCACTTTAAAGAGGTATCAGAGACTGTAATATTGAGATTGCTTTCTAACTTAACTATATCCAAGGCATCCGGTCTGGATCAAATTTCGGCTAAAGTTTTAAAAATTGCAGCACCATCTATTGCTCCGTCACTTACTTTAATTTTTAATCAATCAATCCGCACTGGGCATATTTCCATCTGACTGGAAAGTTGCGAGGGTTACACCAATTTATAAATCTGGGGAACAATTTTGCATGTCCAATTATAGACCTATATCCGTTATTTCAATTGTTGCAAGAATCATGGAAAAGCTAATACACAACCAGATCTATGAATACTTGATTAAGGAAAATCTACTAGCAAATTCCCAACACGGCTTTAGGCCGAACCATTCAACTCTAACTGCGTTGCTCGATATCACAAATAGCTGGTATCAGAATATGGACATTGGCCAACTTAATGGTGTGATATTTCTTGATTTAAAAAAAGCATTCGATACTGTTAATCACGACATCCTTCTTAGTAAGTTGGCAATCTATGGCATAAG